GCTTAGATGACGTCCACCACCTTCTTTTTTTTGGGCTTTTTGTAGTTTTTTTCAAATTTAAGTATTCGCCTCACATAACGATAAATGACGCACAAGCCAATACTTTATCGTCGTCACTCATGGTGTGTTATAAGATTATTTATCTTTTTCGGCTTTATAAACTATTTACTACACGACCACAAGGATAAATAGTAGGACTACACTGCTAAAAACTAATTTATAAATCCAAATTATATATTAAATACCTCCCCCACTGCCAGGACCGTATTTAGGGATTTTTCGCCCCCGGGCACAATATTTATGGCACCCCTTTCCAACACATTTTTTTTAATACCATAGAAGTGGTGCCTAAATTTTATTTTTTTTTGGGGGGGGGGGGCATAAAGTTAATTAATTTTAGATTCTGAGTGAAACGAATTAACGATGAATGTATTGATTTTACAATGATGTGTGTTTTTTTTAAATTTTTTTTGTGTCTGTCATCACGTTTTAAGAGAGTAAAAGAGCTTGGATTTTTTTCATCAGTATCTTTTCTGATAGGAAAGTGAATCTATTTGGTACTTTGGGGGATCAAAAGTAAAAATTTCATAGTAGTTTTCACAAAAGATAACATTTTCAAAAATATTTTGATTTATTTTGAACTGTTTAGGAACATTTTCATTTTCCATTTTTTTTTTAGTTTTTTTTCTAAAAATATCAATAAAATTTTATTTGTTGGTTGCGAAAGCTTGAAAATTTAATAGAAGGCTCCTAATATATTGTTTCAAAGGCAGATGAAAAATATTAAAAATCCTTGGTCACAATTTTTTTTAATAAGTATTTAAAGTTCAAAAATTGACAAAATATGGAAAAATCACGAAAATTAGCAAATTATTTTGAGTTAAGAATTCGTAAAAATTTTTCTTTTTAAATCTAAGATTTGAAAATGTAATACAAGGTTCCTTATAAGATTATCTACCTTTATCAAAAAAAAAAATGTCTATAAGAAAGTCAAATTAAATTTTTAAGAGCGTTTGAAATTCAAATTTTTACAACATTGAATATTCACTCGATTTCTCATGTAGGTAGCGATTTCCTTATTTTGTTGTAATTCAAAAACGAATAACTTTAGATACATGAAAATTTCACTGAATATTTATATTAGCATTTCCTATACACCATACAATTTTGAAAATATTTTGACTCTTTTTGAGCTGTTTATGGACATTTACATCTTTCAATTTATTTTAGTTTTTTTTCTATAAATATCAATAAAGTTTTATCTGTTGGGCCAAAAAGTGTAAAAAATTAATACAAGTCTCCTGATATATTGTTACAAGAGCAGTTGAAAAATATTAAAAATACATAGGCACAGTTTTTTTTTATAAGCATTTAAAGATCGAATTTTAACAAAATTTATCAAAATCTCGAAAATTATCAATCATTGTAATTGATAAATTATAAAATGTTCAGTTTTTATAGCTAAGGATTGCAAATTTAAAACAAAGGTTCTCATAAATAGTTCATACTGTAACCAAAAATCTAAAAAATATATGAACACAGTTATTTTTTACAGACATTTTAAATTCAAATTTGGACGAAATTACATATTAAAAAACTTAGAATAACTAGTTTTGTTATTTTTGTTGTGATTGAATAATATTATTCGTGGGTACTTGAAACTTCTAAAGTGTACTATTATATATCTATGATAGTATCACGGTTTTTGTTGATGTATAACGCGTTATAAGTACCTAATGGATATTTTGATATGATTAATTTGGAATTTATTATAGGTACCTATTATAGGTCAATTTTTTTTAATACCATAGATAAGTATATATTATGTCTTATACCTAGACTGGCATACAATCTCCGCTCAGAATCGTTTTTCTTATATACAATGATATTATATCGTTGAATTCAAATTTAATATTATAGTATTATACAGTGATACACTTGTAACCTACTGTACAGCAGAGCGACACCCACTTGCCCACCTTTTTTATGTTTCCCTTTCTCATTGAAATTTAATTTGCAGTTAATTTTTAGCAATTTTAACTAGGTACCTATGCATTCCAATATTAGATTTTTAATAGTAGGTAAACTATACAAAAAAACATAAGTAACTAATTTATAACTTAGGTCTTAGGTACTATCTACCTAGAATCTTCCATGATACCTAGTAGGAACCTACCTGCTTAGTTAATAACGTTTATTTTTCTTTATTTAAAATGATAAAATATAGGTAAAAAAAAATGTACGCATATGTGAATTTAAAAAATAAATAGTAATAAAATGTATCATTTTTTAGAAATCTTTCTCTTTACAAAAAAAATTAATTTTTTGTTTATTTTATCTGAGATAATTTTGCCGCCCCCAAAGTGTGCCGCCCCCGGGCAATTGCCCACCGGTGCCCCCCTTAAAACCGGCCTTGCCCACTGCCAATACTTGTAATAACTTAACCAGCTGTGGGAACAGTTTACTTGGCTACTTGCACAAGTGCGCGAGTATTGGCCTACTTGACAAATATGCCAGTCGTCGGAACACTATATTTGTAAATCACTCGCCATGGCGATTATTCGTGTACTTGGCAAGTACACCAGTCGTGGGAATCCGGCTTAATACAAAGCACGATATTATAGGAACCTGTATCATATAGGTAGGTACTTATCGAGAACACAATATTGGGACTTTCCAGATTTAATCGAGCAGTCTTCTGTTTCAATTACACTAAACGGATTCATAAAATCGCCTTAATTGCCTTGCGCCGTCTCCCCCACATTGTGAGCTGTACACGCGCACCTATAATATTATAATGCGCCATTGTCCCGATGACAATATATTATATTAGGCATGTTGCACAGTGTAGACGAAAGTAGGCGAGGGACGGTATATGATGGCCAGCGACGAAAGTGATCCAACGAATTTCACCAACTCGTATACGACTGGTGTAGGTACATAATAATTTGAATTGTATGCAATACATTTATTCATCATTTACGGTATAAAAAAAGTGGTATGTTATTTCGGATCATAATATTATGTGTACACGCAGTCGAATACAAATTATAGTGGTTTTTTTCAGCACGATGCTATAGTATAATCCCATTTGAAATTCTGATTTTTAGTTCATTATATATGTCCCGCGGCTATACTCGCTTTTATATTCTTCGAGTGAAGATATCTTCTGTTTTTCGGCAGATGATTTAATTTGTAAAAAAGGGGTGCATCGAAACCATACACCAAACGTGAAACGAGTGATGTACTCATAGACTTGTATCGTAAGTCTATGGATGTGTACTAGACTCGTTTGAAGAAAAAAATTGCTTCCATCACCAGTCCTCGAGTCCCGTACAAATCCCAGTATTTATAATTATTACAATACATGATACGATATGCTGTTTATGAGTACTGCAGCTCCTATACACTTAAAAACCAGAATTCGAATGAACTGCACACGATTTAATCATGTATACGAGCTGGTGGTCGCGCTTAACATTGCACTCTGATATGTTAGGGACGACGACGGATACACTTGTTAAGGAGCTGCAGAGTGCACAGAGCTTTCCGATGATCTCGTACAATATACATATACACGTACGATGATATGCACACATAGTACAATGATATATACAAGTGGAAGTCGCGTAGAAGAGGAGTTTAATGGCGACTACCTATATATATATATGTATACGTGTGCGTATAATAGTCGTCGAGGCTTCGGCGGCCGGATATAGGGTTGTCGAGAATTTTAATTTGGAGTCTGTGCGGCAGAATCGTCGGTCATTAGCGACATTCCGAACGAGCTGTTTGTGTGTGTGTGTGTGTGTACGATATAATTATGCCGAGCTATTCGAGATAGGCCGCAACCGCGTGTATATTAATACATATTTTAACAACCGCTCATCTCAAACATTATATTTTTATATTCGTATACGCGCTATTATCGTTCTCACTCGGGTACTTATTTTTTCACCACTCTATGCCATCATGTCTATGTATATGCACTAAATCATTATAATATAATATTATGTGTACGCAAGTTACGCGCTTTTAGTTTGTCGTCGCCGGCCGTGCTGTTTTTTTTCATCCCGTTAAATTTGTCCCCACCGATCACGATTTATTTATTCGGCCTTAAAAACCCGAACAGAAACATTTGAATGCAAAGGTGATGAGCTAATCTAATTTACGACAGTCCGTACTCCAACTATCTATTATTTCTAAACACTTGGCCACCCATTTTTGTTGTTATTGAAATTATTTTATATATTTTAAACATTAATTATTATATCTCAACCAATAAGTTGTACAAACAATTATAATTAAATAGATACATGTTATTAAATAACGTACAGTGAAGTACATAGATGTATAGTGCATTGTGCTAACTTCTAAGCCCAAACAGTAAAGTTTTATTGTAATCCTATTGTATTAATAACTATTCAATTTAGAAGGATTTTTAAATAGGAGTTGAGGAATTGACATAGAAACGTAATAATAATTATATTGCTGTCCATGCTGCCCCATCCATATTAAAGTATTTTTAAATACCTACGTACTTATATATATATATTATTTATAGAATTAACTACCATATATAAATACAAATGCACACGTTATATTACTTTTGTGCATTCGGCAGGGACAAAACCTTTTGTGAGCTTTTTACGGTAACACACACACACACACACATACCCATATATATCATACACATATATGAGTTAATATTACCATCCACGCTGTCGAGGATTTTTTTTGTTTCGTGTACAATCTCGAAATACAAACCGAAAACAGTTTACCGAAATGTACGTGTACAAGGCGGAGGAGACGCTTTCCCTCGTCGTTTATATATATCGAGCCCGGAGCGAGTCTGTTCCGAATAGACCACTCGGAATTAAACACACACACACACACACACGTATATATAAGCAAGCATTTGGGTGTGTGTGTGTGTGTTGTATGGCACACGCGCGCTGCTGTTGCCGCGAATTTCGGTCTAATTACCCCTAGAGCTGCGTTTAATTTTCCGCGCCGGGTTTAATCAAGTGGAAACCGAGCCTGAAAATACGCATCGCTTCCGGAGCATCTGCTCCCACGGCGTTTTTATCATTACAATATATTATTAAATTAAACCGAGCCTGAGCACCGTCGCACGAATCCGTTCGGCGACTGCAAGCCGCGGAGCTTGTGTACATGAGACGAGAGAGACCCTTGGGCCCCGTGGAAATCCATTGGCGTTTCCGTGGCAGAGAGCGATGCGTGTCAGACGACACTCGTGGCCCCACTCTCGACCACAGAGATGTGCAATGCAGCATTTGCGAGACATTCTTTTCGGATATAATAATAATATTTGTAACCAATAGTTATACGAATTCACGGGAACGAGAGAGAGATTCATACTAATAATCATACACAATCAACCGACTGATTGTACTATAATAATTTTTACAAACGAGAGCAAGACTCGGTACCCTCGTTTTTATAAAAATATATACGTAGGTTCACCTATACGTTATGTTTTATATAAATATCAATCAAATTTGTTAACGATGTTTACATTGTCGTGAACTCGCACGTTTAGCGATTCACCGTGGTATATAGGTATTATAAAGGGGAACACTTAATCTCCAATACCGTGCAAGTCGTTTGCACTGTACAATACTTTTGAACCGCTATTAGTCATTGTCAACTGCGATAGGGTATATATACCACCTTTACGTGTAATTGTCAGCTATAATCGATCATCATTATTAACGAAATTAACAACATTTGCCATGAATTATTACTTTTTTCTGGACAGTGTAATTAATTTCTATATCATTAGCAGTGTTTCGAACCAATTATATCAATTTACGGGAGAGAGTATCATCTATCGCCGAACAATATAATATAGCCCATAATGAAAGTGAAATATAATAACGCAGTAATAATATAGGTAATATATATTATTATACGACGACAATATACCGATTGTAAAAAAAAACGCTTGTCTAACCATATATATATATATAACGTATATTATATTATGTATATTAGAATAATATAATCGATAATGATTATTCGAATGTGTCTGTCAAATAATAACGATGTCTCAGCCTAGATTCGCGATATTGTTTTACGGCAAGAACAATTACTATTAGTATATTAATATAGTACGACATAGCATAGAACAATGAACAATAGTAATATAAAATAGTAATATTAAAAATATAAAACGTAAACTATTATAACATAACCAGCTACAACTGCAATGACGCACAACAAACGGTTGACGAGCTTTGTTTTACAATTTAACAAAACGAAGAAGTTTCTAATATTGTATGTACAGAAACCACACAACGTTTGGGTTGACAAAAAACAAGTTGGCAAGTTATCAATTCACAAACGTATACTTCAACTGATTAAAAATATTAATTTTTTTTAAATTTTATAATACAAACCTTAAAATCTATCGAGAGAGTATGCACAGAACAATTATAAAAAATTATTATTTTTATTATTATTAATTAAATACGTGTAAGATCGGCTCAGTAATTGTGCCGCACACGTGTCTTTTTTATTTATTGATTTCTAATAATATGTATATTACAATAATAGGTATTCAGTGATAAAAGTTCGAGCAAATTATTCCAACCTACAAAAACACGGATATAGTGAACCGTAAAATAAACGAGGATGTGTTAAAAAAAAAAAAAAAATAGATATTATAGAATTTTTATAGAGGTCGATTAAAATAATGTTTGACCAGATAGACCAAAAAAAGCAAATTCAAATAAATTAATATTATACATTATTGTCCTTATGCTAAAACTGTTGAGTATACCAGATAGATACGAGGATATACGTGTTAATATTAATTTTTTTTATTTTAGTTAGCTTATAAATACATTGATATAGGTACTAGAAAAATATCGAATAAGTCATAATAGGTATTCAAATCTATTTAGATGAACGCATCGTCTGACTTATTACCTAAGTCTTCTGTATTTTCTTATATATATAATACAAACGTCGTACCATTATTTTAATAGAACGATAATATATAATATGTTGGAGGTATATTGTTCAGAGCAAACGCGTTATATATTTTTTCCTTGTTACATGGCCTGTGAGAGGAAAATATATAAAGAAAAATTTCATTTTTGATATTCAGCCGTGTGTGCTATATTATATACAAAGATGAACGTTATTATTATGTTTGTATATAGGTATATGTATAGACGCGTTTTCAATAGTCATACCGATCGGCGCGAACGGTGCCTGACAGGCATACGTAATAATCGAAGGGATCGAACGATGGGAAGACAGGAGAGGAACGACGGGATAAGACAGCAATTTTCAAACACAACACATTTAAAAAAAAAAAAGAAGAAAAATATTATTTTTATCTCCGTTTTCAGTTAGAAGATGATAACACTGTTTTTCCACTTTCTCCCCACCGGCATGTGTTATATATATGTAGGTATACATATATAATAGTCAAACAATCTGAAAAAAAAATACAACGCCTTGGGGGAACACTGCTACTTTTGTGGTATATGGATATGATATCGGTTACAAATTTATATATATTGGTGGGCGTTATAAACCGCGTCTCATATATCTACTACCTAGGTATACCATGTTATTAGTTCAATCATTGCAGATGTGCGGCAGGCGTGTATTACATTTACATATTATATTGTTCATTTGTTCTTATCGTATTGTATACAATATTATTATAACACTGATTGCTAATATATTATTATTATTTATTATCCTTACTGTTAATGCTGCTGTCTCACGGTAGTGTGACTGGTACAATAATACTATAAACCTGCACATCTCGTTTCTGTGACACGGTGACCGATAAAAAAAAACCACTGGAATATTTAAACACGAGCCGTGTGCAATTATTATGGTGCGTTGTGCGCAGAAAGTAGGAATAAATTATATCATAATATATTATAATGTTTATCGTCGAGTTGAAACATTTTTTCGTTTATCCGGATGCCACGCGCTCGCGTTTAATATAATAATATGTGTATGCAATTGTTTGAATTGGTTTTATTGCGCAGCCGAAAGTAAATAAAAGACGTTCAAAGAGAGACGAATGTTAATTTGTCGAAGAACAACAGAAGAAACGAAACAATATATTATTATGTTACGGCGGAAATCGTTCAATACGAAACGTATAATCATTTATAGAAGTTCTCCCTTTTTCGCATGTATACAATATATAATATGCGAACACGGACCTCATAGCGTATAGTTTCGTTTGTCAAACGAAATCGATGTGAATAAAAACATTTCAATGATTTATCGAAACGAAAAAAATATTCGGCGTTTGTGTTTTCTATGGTTTATATTTCCATCGTTTTCCCGCAAAACCAGACAGACGCGTCACAATAATAATAATATAATACACGTGGTTTTTTTTTCTCTACGACGTTGCATATATATATAAATACATGCGACTGATGATGTATGCTGTCGTGGAAATCACATCCTTCCGCAGTAGTGCATTATGAACGGTCCAAGTCCTATATATACGCGTCACACCTCGACGCGCGCTAACAATTTTTTTTATATTTACATTTTTATCAGAGTCTCGCGGAAACTTTTTAGCCTTCTTCTTCGGAAAAGGCGCCGGTGACACACTGCGCAGCGCTATCGGGTTTTACGAGTGACGGAGATGCGCTCTTTTTGGTTGTGGGGGTGGCGGGAGGGGGTGAATGCCGCCGTGTGTAAAGTTGGTGTAATAATATAATGTCGTGCGAAAAAAATCGTATCTCGAGCGTTTTGCACTTCGGGTGTTGAAAACCGTGAGGAATTCTCAATCGTATATTATAATGTATGTACACTATTATCGGTTTTGCGTTTATACACCCGTCGACACTTTGGCGAGGTGTACGGAAAAAATCCAAATCCAATTTAACACGGTTCGGGCGCTGCAGAAGAAATCCACCTCCATTTGTAAACAAAATAACCCAACACACCCTGCACCTGACCACTGGTGCTGCAGCTGTACCTATTTATTTGTCCCGAGTAAATTGGACGTGCGACCGCCGACTAAGAATATATTATTATCGTATAAACGCGGACGGCCATACTGGACTTTATTTATCGTGCGTTTTTTTTTTTCGTCGTTTCGCACATGAAAAATGCCCACGTTATATAATCTGAAAAAGATCTCCGGGTGTGCTCGAAATGGACACTATATAATTCGGAATGGGCGTAAGAACCGAGCACGATTTCGACACAAGTGCGGACGCGGCGCAAAAAGCGACTCCGAGAGAATTTTTGAAGATATCATAGCAAACGAGAAAACAACGAATAGCGAGACATCTGCAATTTCCATCGTTCTAATCAAATCCGTCTATATATATATTACCATTATTTATGTAAAAAAATCCCGCACACACACACGAGTTTAATGTTTTCGTTATTTACGCGTGTGAAACCTGTTTCCCATCGTATTTAGTCGGTCAATAATGACACTGTACAATGTATGCCATCAGAATATTATATTATAGCATGCGTGTATCCTGCACACGAAACACGATACTGAATGCTAACCCCCAATAATTATTGTTGTCATCATTATAAAAAATATGTAAAACGTTAAATTATTTTCGCCATGTTGTTCTGTAATAATTATACGGCGGTCGTTTGGACGGTCGAATTTGACCGAGTCGTTAAGTTATTCGGAACTCAGAATCTTTCAGAAAAGTCATAATATTCGACCGAACATATTTCATGATGATTTTCGACGAGTGGACGAACACATCGTAATAACGCTTTCAGAGTAATACCATAAAACGGACTAAAAATTGTTATACCAATTTACACGGTTTTAGTACATGAATGTTTGCACATAAAAGTATTTCGTAGAAAAAATTTCTCATCATAATAATATTACAATACTAACGAATGCTTTATAACGTCTACTACGTCTTCATCACAATGTTATATTATTACTAACTGTTATTGTGTGTACGATACAGTTCATTATATACATACGCTAAGAGGAATCCACAAATTATCTCATTTGAACATTACAGCATAATATTTTAGTCCGTGGGAGTAAGAATGTTAACAGTAGCAAAATTCCATCAAATTTGTCAGGAGTTTATGAATTACGGAAATTAATGTTTTGAAATCGCATAAACGCTAAAGATATATAAAAGACGGGTAAGTGATATATTGTGTGTTTTTTTTCTTTTAACGTTAATGTCTCTTTTTTCGAAGACAACCCACAGACAATATTTTGTTCGTGTACTACGATGGCTTTAGTAATGTTTCCCGAAGATAGTTACTGTATATTCGCTATTAC